TGTTAACTTTACATCCAAACAATATGGTCCCGTTCACACTGGCCGATTTGAGCCGGGAGCGGGACAGTTCGGCGCCGGATCAAACCGGCGCGATCACACCACAACATCTGGGAAGCGTCTTGCTTCCGTGGCCGAACTGTCCCATCCCCGCAGAAATCCGCAGCAAACTGAACCACCTACTTAGGTGGTTCAAATGGACGCGGCGCAGCAACGGGGCGTTTGATCGCCGGCGCGTCTTTGCGCCGGCACAACCCCGGCCCAGATCCGAACTGCGCATGCTCCGACATGCGCAGTTCGGCCGGCTAGGCGTCTGACGTGTGTTTTCTCCCCAGCGTTTGATCGCGCCGAGGAGAAAAGGCGCCGCAGCCAGGGGATCCATGGGATCCTGCCGCGGCGCCTCAACGTTGGCATGGCTTTTAAAAGCTGCGCCTTAAGAGGCTTTTCCCCTGCCGTGTGGCAGGGGCCAATATAAGAGTTGAACCTGAAGTTGAAAGCTCTGCATTTATTTATTCTGTAACACAGGGCAAATCCCAGGTGCCACATCACAATGGCATCTAGAAAAGCAGCACCTAGTATTTCAGCAATGATTTTATTCTATGTATTTCAATAGTCCACAGTGGAAGTTTAAAGAGTTGGATAAAACCAGTTTTTCCACTGGTGAAAAAGGGAGGAAAGCTTTGACCACCAACTCCGACCATCAAACAAGGTTATATTTTGAAGGAGCCAGATTTTGTGCCCAGGCATGTCTAATTAGACATGAATATGGTTTGTTTTAACAATTTTAACCAAGCATTGTATTTTAAGACCTGTCATGCAATTAATGTAACCAATGTAGTCAAGGTAATGTTTGTTGGTGATTTTGATTCTGTTCTCTGATCTTGGATTGTAATAAACTTGACTTGACTTAAAAGGTTATATTTAGGATCAGGGGATTTGCGTGGGCAAAAGCTATGTGGAATGGGGCTGTAATAAGGAAGGGAACTGGACAAGGTTGAGCAAAACAGATGGCTGGATCCAACCCAAAGCTTGTTTATCATATCACAGCAGAATGTTTTGTTGCATGACATAAAAATAAATATGCATGAAGTTCTTGTCATTGCTTGTTTATATGTAAACTAAACTGGTAGTAGATGTCACTTCTTAAACAGTTGTTTTCTACACTGGCTACAGTATTCAATTAAACAGAGCTTTTTAATGGGATCATGAGAAATTGGGGAGAAGTTAGGCTAGGCTTAAATGTTAGCTTTTTTGATATGGTGATGACAATCAGGGTTACCCATATGTTTATATATTACAACACTTTTGTCATGGCTTTAATAAAATTATGAGAGACTGTGAAGAGGTTAGGATGAGTTTCTTATGGCAATAAATAGAAAATTTTGTCATTCAAATAAAAATCCATGAAGGCTGAAAAATGAGTCCAAGCCAAAAAACTTTTGGCCAAGGTTTGCTGTAGCATTTTTCAAGGTCTCAAGAAATAATTATAATGAATATTTATGCTCTGCATAATAGTCTCTTCTGTTGCTTGGCATCTAGCTACACCACCCAATTATCTCTGCTATCTTCTCTCTGTACCTATACCGATTCATTGATGCTTCTCTGTTGTGAGCTAACAAAGTCCATAGAAAAGTAAAATAGAATTATAATGAATATTTATGCTCTGCATAATAGTCTCTTCTGTTGCTTGGCATCTAGCTACACCACCCAATTATCCCTGCTATCTTCTCTCTGTACCTATACCGATTGATTGATGCTTCTCTGTTGTGAGCTAACAAAGTCCATAGAAAAGTAAAATAATGCCAATATCCTAGATGAATTCTATGTACCAAACTACTTACAGTCTAGAAATATATGATAGATGACAGGAAAAAATAAAAGCAAGGCAAAGGGAGCATAACGTAGGTACGCAAAAAAAATAATAATTGCAAAAGGTTGTCCTAAAGCTTGCCTTTACAACCCATCTGAATGCAACATAAAAAGAATGTGAAACAGAGGCTTGTTTCCACTTGGGAATATTGTAATATGCAAGTCAGAGCTCAATCCCACCCCACCTAGAATCTATCTTGGTGTTTCTTTCCCCACCACTGGCACACTGCCAACACTCTACTTCTTAAAAACAGCATTAGCAGCAGTACAAATTCAGAGACAGAACTATTGGTGGCAATTCAGCTATCACAATTTTCCAGATAGATTTCATTGCAGAAGCAACTAATGTATTATCTAAATAACTGTAAAAACACTTTGTGCAATACACCCAAATTTACATTCTTTCATAGTGTGTACCTGAAGGGTTTTAAATTTCATTTGGAATAAACAGTTTGCAAGGAGTCATGTTGTATGTTTCCTTCCCACACTCACTCATGTTTTCAGGCACATTAATAACTGGTGAAGTTAATGCCTGAATATATCATTAGCAGTGGGTATTCAATTGTGACATAGTAAGATCAGAAAAATACCTTTGGAAAGTATTTAATTATTGGAAAACAATATATACATTCAGACAATCACAGCATGGGTAGGCGTTATTTCTAGTACTACAATCACAGAAGCATTTGTAGATATAAGAAGTATAAACTCAAGGTTCACCTATAAAAGTCTTCAAAGTTAAGTTCAGCCTTTCCTTTCTTGCCAAAAAAGTGGACCAGCAGCGTTGTATCAGACAGTAAACCGGTGATGTCATCTGCACGCTTAAAATTACCAAAATAAAATTTAGTTAAAACTATAATCAATTTAGCAAAAAAAGGAGACATAAAATATTTTGCTTTGAAAAAATGCTTTGAAGACTAAATGCATTCATGCAATTTGCAAATTAGTTAGCAATATATTAGTCAGGTTATATAATAGACATGTCAATTGTGAATTCTCTTTTAGCTCAATAAACTTTTAAAAAATGCTATGACATGATCAAGGTTGATAAATAAAAGCAAATACTTTGGTGATAAATGAAATGAATGAGAAAAAATTAGGTAGTGAAAATAAGTTTGTATATTTTAAAAAGTATTCTTACAAGGGAAAGTCAAAACATATTCGGAGCTGCTTTTTTCTCATAACATCTTCAATGTCAAAAAAGTTGAAGGAAATATTTTGATGGGGAAAATAAAATAATGGAAGCCTACCTCAGCTGCTAGTGACACATTTGGTTTCGACACCATGCTGTTATCTCTCTGCAAAAACCTGTCCATGCAAAAATGTCAAAAGATTCCACTTTCTATCAGGAAAAAACCTCATGAATGAATAGAGTAAGGGTGGGATTATAATTGCTGGACAGGGTCAGAAACCATTCCAATGCCTTCATGTATTTTCCTTACTTAACTAATAAAATATTGTCCTCCTAAAGAGGCAAGCTTGATCTACAGGGCATAGTTTAAATAATCAGGGCCTAAAAGATCTTGCAGTAAGGTCACATTTGATTCTGGCAAATAAAACTGACAGATGACCATTACAGCTATAGCTTTCAAAACCCTTTGAGTGCAGTTGGGCACATTCCTGGAGTGGTGTGAAGTCAATTTACAAGGCAGATGTATAGTGCATGCTAAGTCTTGTATTATCCTGGGTCATCCTGGGTGACTACAGCAGCTTCTTTTGATCTTGAAATTTTGTGAATCATCAGGAATGCATTTTACTTCCCCACAATACTCATATTAACAACAGCATTCGAAGTATTTAAGTGATACTCATCTGCCACAGAAAGGTGGTTTTGGTAAAGCTTTCAATTTAAATGTCTGTGAAAAGCAGAAATAAGAAACAGCATCTGGAAAGGTAAAATACCTATCTTGTTATTTTAAAGGTCCGAATGTGGGGAAATGGCTATTATAGACTAGAGACGAATCTCCAAGCAGAAACAAATATGTAATCATAGCTATTCCAAAAAAACTATTTAAAAGGAGTGATCTTTCTTGGGAATTCCAGGTATGGAGATGAAATAAAATCTTAGATTTTATAGGACTGAGAAGGATGGAATAGAAATGTTATTGAGAAAAATTACCTCCAAAAGCATTACTCTGTGCCCCTATTTAAACCAGGAACAGTTCCCTTACTATCTCTTCTTGGCATCCAGAATGCCACCATTGCCAGCATAAGGGCCCAGGGACCTTGGGAAACACAGTACTCCAGAACACCTGAGTACTTGCCATTCACAGCAGAATCTCTAGAAATTATATGTCCCAGGAATACAGCTGGGTGCCTCTCCTAGAGACAAACAACCCATGGATATATAATTTCCAAAATGCCTAAGGGCCAAACTAGATGAGATCCTATGAGACTGAGTAGTATGCTCTCAAATGTTTTAACTGGTAAATATCAGTCATGTCCCTTCGGTTTGAGGCTATAATGATACCTGATGCACGACTGCAATACTGGGTCACACTTACAACCAATGATCCCTCTTAGCTGTGGAGTCTTGTGAGCAAATATTCTACTTTGTGAGCTACTGGCATTGATGTTGTGAGCGAGCAATTTGGATACTGCATAAATTAGTTTGCTCTGGAGCCATCCTTCCTGAGCTAAGACAAAAATGTGTGAGCCGGAGGCTAAAAAACAGTGAGCTAGCTCACACTAACTCAGCTTAGAGGGAATACTGGTTACAACATGGTTCCTTTAATACACATTGTGCAATATTTTAGCCTGCATAGTCTGTGTATTCTGCACAAAGAAAACTGGAAGGGCTTTTATGTATTTATGCAGTGCATTCATCTATCCAGACTAAGAATGGTGAAGCCTATAAAGTCTCAGGGAATATTATTTAACTCTCAACACATTAAGTTTTGTTTTGGAAGGGGCCCTGCAATTTCAGTGCATGATGAACCAATAAAACTACATATTGTCTATGCAATTAATGCTCACCCACTTGCCAAATAACTCACCTGTCCCCCCAAAAAAGAATCATATGAATCAGCCCTTGCAGTGGATGAGTGAGTGAGAGAGAGTACAGGAAACAAAGAAGACCTTTGTATTGATTAATTAGAAGCGAATAAAAACATATCTTATGATACGCATATACTGAAACCTTTCTAATAAGAGCAGCAGGCATTCCATCTGATCCTGCATACATAGTATGCCAATTCTTCAATCTGTGAATGCCGGAGAAAATCTTGTCTCCCTGTGTGACCATATCCTGAAGATATTGCTCAGTAACACATTAATGTATTTCACAAAACACTTAAAGGACTAAAAGTCTCTTTCTAAAAAAAAAGTCGTCTTCTGTTGTTTCTCAGAAATATAAATTAACTTTCTTCTAGCTAGGAGGTCTGCAGATTCACCAAGCACAGCTTCAGCCCATCAGTAGTTTGACTCTTAACTGCTGATGGGTTGATGCTGTGCTCGGTGAATTCCAGATATATTTTCAACCCACTGTGGGATTCCTACTTTCAACAGTTGAATACAAGAGTGAATTTTGAGAAGGGCTGGAATAAATATGCCCTAATTATCTTTTCTATGTATTATTTTTAAGAAAAATATATCTTGCTTCTTCATTACACTCGAAGTGGCTTACAAATTCAATTATACTAAAACACCAATAGTAAACCAATGGGTTTTTTGAAAGCCAGCTTTTTCAAAATATCTTGCCCAATTCTCCTCCCTATTACCGTTCCCATCCCACAATGGCTTTTGTCAATGCAGATTCCACAATCCTCAACTTAGTTTCTTTGGGTGGTCAAATGAGTAACCTCCTCTCTTTTCAGCCATGGAAAAACTGGCTGGGTCCAACCCAATAAAAACAGCCATAAGACCAAATGCAGTCCAGGTCCAATAAAACACCAAGGACTCAGACAACTCAGGACCTCCTAAAGTTCTATGTTGATCATCCTAGATGGGAGCTAATCCAATGGAAAATGTGTATTAGCAGGTAGAGGTGATACTTTGATCAGAATGCTTTGTCAGTGGATGAATCATTACTGGATTCAGTTTAGAATCTTTCAACATAAAATTCTAGACATCCTTCTAATGAGGTCCAGCAGGATTATTTTTTCAGTGAATAAATGTTTTTTATAGAAATGTATAGTCAAATATCCCAAGGTTGTAGAACACAACACTTAATTCTTCCATGTCTGCTAAATTTAAAAAAAAACTACTGGCAGTTTAAAGTAATGTTGCTTACAAATGTATGAGAACACTTGATAAACCATACCAAACAAACAAAAACCAATAGATGAGTGAACAAAAGACCCAGAATTCTAACAGCAAATTAAGTGAAAAATAAGGAAGAACATTTACCATGAAGAAAAACAAAAGGAACATTAAAAAGGCAAGTGAAAAAAGGTTTATAGACCACACAGAGGTTTTAATTATACCTCTGCTAGGTCCGAAAAGAGTGCCTGGCTTGTGCTACGTCTCAGAGTATCCCAATAGCTTCTTGGAACAAGGTCCTCTCCTCCTGTTTTAAGCACCTGCAGAATTTTTAAAACACACAGGTATTGGAGGGAAAAATATCAAGGAATAATAATTAAGAACAGCTTATATACTTGTATATCTTTGCTAACGGATCTTTAGAAAGAAGAAAGCCATATGAGATTACCTTTTTGTTTCTTCCTGCACAAAGAATATTACATAACACTGCCATTTTCAAAGCAGCAACATCCCCACTTCCTTATTTGTCATGATGTGATTTTGTAAGAAGGATCGCTCAGAGTTGTTGTTAATATATCTTTCCATGTGGAATCATAATACTGAACTAAACACTGAAGTATAGAATAAGGTGTGTTGGAACACTTAAAATACCCTGATTATTGAATCTCTCTTTCAAAGACTAATAGGATTAGGTATGGACTGGGATTTTTTCAGTGTCGTTCAGGAAAAAAAATGTGGACTCAGTTCAGAGAGAGTTAGCCATACCAGTGTCAATGTAATCTATGATAGACTTACTAACCTGTTTCACTGATTTTAAAGCAACTTGAACACAACTTACTTCTTCTGGATTGGAGTAATTGGATTGAACATTACACTTGCTCAATAAAAATATTTATGGGCACGAACGATATAACCAAAGTTAGGTCATTTAAGTTCTATGGCACATGCTTAACTCTCTCCTTCAAAATCAAAATAATTTGTGTTCAGCTTTGGCTGAATTATACTCAGCGTTTTGATCAGAAGCCAACATATTCTCTCAAAAAACAGATAAAAAGAATATTTTAATATTATACATACTACATGAAAATTACTAGCTAATGTAGATATTTTTCTTCAGGCAAGAATGCTATCTCTAATTATATGCTAAGAAATGATGTGCTTATTTCAGGTTTTCTGTAGTGACATGCTTGATGACACAGAGCGAAGTTACTGATGTACGTGTTCCCGCATTGTCATTCCCCTGAAAATTACGAATATTATATTATATTAACTGATAGTCTGATCCCTAAATACACACAGAATTAAGCACCATTCATTTCAATAAAAACTCCAATCAAGTACATGGTAGCCTATATGGTGTGAAATCCTTGCAGCACTTTTGGACCTAGGTTTCCACTTAAGAGTACATCTCTTTGGAAAGATTAAAGCAGTCAATCTGGCACTGGGCCAGATCCTTCAGCTGTGACTGTGGCCAAAAGGGAGGGGAGAGGGAGTCAGTCACTCTACAGCAAAGAACTAGGAGAACACCAGATACCTGCAAGCTTACAGCTGAGCTCACGGATCCCCCCCATTTCCCCCGGGACTGCTCCTGGAGAGGGGTCTATGACAGCCTGTATCACAGCTGATCGGTTGTTCAATAGAGACCATATTTGCAGGTCCTGAACCAGAGAGCCTTCCTCTGTAAAAAAAATTTTTTCTAGTTGGGAAGCCCCTGCAAACATCTATCACTGGGTATAATAGTATTAGTATAGTACAATAATTCCTTGCTTATTAACTGAACTGTTTTATAAAATATAAGTATCTGGTTCAATGCCATGTGGACCCAAGATGAAAGTGAAGGTCTGCACTGGGAGGGGGGCACTGGTGAAACTTCTTGCCCCCCCGCATTCCAGAAACAGAAATGTCATTCCATTGGAGGAACTGCATGGTTGGATACATGGCATTATCTTTTTCCTGTTGAGGCATGCTCTGCCATAATCCTCATCATAGGATTCTCAGGCAGATGCATTATATGTACAGATAAGAAGTTCTTGACTATACCATCTTCAGAATGCATTTGCCTGAAAATTCTAACATACAAATCATTCTGTGCAGGGAAAACAAACACATCAGCAATAATACACAGCTTAACTCATTCACATTTGATTTTTGTTCAAATCAGTATCAGTTTTGTTAGTATTTTTCAGTTATGCATGCTGTACTTGCATACAAATAATACTATATTACAGTAATTAACTATGACACATTTGCAATTTAGCCAGTCATACGGCACACTCCCTGCATGCCACCTGCATGCAACAGGCAATGCTTCAAAGAAATAAAGCATAACACAAAGGGGTAGAAAGGAGTGTCCCTATTCTACTTACAATTCACACACCTATGTGTTATGTCCTACATGGCACAGTATTGGCACAGACCAAATATACATTAGCTTACATAGATCTGAGGATGAAACTGTGATATTAACGGATTCTCCCATCACCAATAGTAGAAGTCTGCCGTAGCTATGGGGTAAAATCTTTGCTTGGTGGAATAACAGGGTAAAAAGGATAGTCTGTACAGTCTCTCTTGCAGTCTCAAAACTTTTACAGAGAGAGAAAGGATCTTTAAGTTGCAATAGGAGAAAATCTCCTTCACCTATACCAGAAATTTTAGTTTTAACTGAATACTGCGAGCCATGATGAATGCTTTTCTCATATAGATTAATAGTACTTCATAAAGTAAACAACAAAAGAGAGTACATACAGCATTAGTAGACGTGTGGTACCCATAAAGCTGAAGATTCTGACATACCGCACGGTCAAAGTGAAGAATTTCATTTCAAAACGAAGTCAAGATAACAAGAGAAAGAAAGAAGACAACAGAATAAAGACATTCATTTTATGCTATAAAATAGTTTAAAGATAAGGTTGCTTAGTTTATACTACAGCCTAAACATTCCTACTTCAATATTAAAATGGTCTTACATATCTTACTACTCATTTAAGTTTCATTCAGGGCTGTCATTAGCAGAGTTATATCTTTATAAGCCCATTGATTTCAATGGACTTAAAGGGTGTAATTCTGTTCAGGATTGCATGAATGGTCACTATAACATTAACATTAAGGAAGACTTGGATCTATGCAGAACCCATGGCTTTCAACCAGGGCAGAGTCAGTTATCAGCTCTTTTTAGGGCTGCCAAGTGGGGGCGGGTGGTGGGTAAACCCCCGCTTTGGAGGCCCAATTTCCGCCGCCGGGGAATTGGGCCCCGGGGGAACTCCGCTCCCCCAAAGCACAGCGTGGCTGCGTCACCGTCAATCACGTTGGGGGTGTGGCCCCAATTGTTGGAGAGAAAACTCTATGGTTTTCCCTCCAACGATCGGGGCCACGCCTTCAACATGATCGATGTCGCGCGTCACTTCCGGTGATGTGCTGGCGGCGCGTGTGCGCTTCACGCGCATGCACCCGCATCAAGGACCGGCTCCCGGAGCCCAGCGAGGCTCCTCCACTGGTAAGAAAATTGGACTTGGCAACCCTAGCTCTTTTTGTTTTCTGGCAGGCTCTGGACCTACTTCAAAAATGAAGGAAAACCTCTGGGAAACAGAAATTAGTATGATTTTACCTTATACATTTTGCCATGGGTTATGAGGGGGGATTTAACACAGCGCCACCTTACTTGTGGTTATTAATGTCAACTTAACAACCCCGTCCCATATCTCCTCTTTGAGAACAGGCCTCAAGCAATCTGGGGCAGAAAGCCAGAAACATAACTGTACCTCCAATCTGTTTGAGTGATACCTACCAGCAAGGCACGTTTCTCTTCATCTCCTTTTCTTTCTTTCTTTTCGTTTTTCTTCCTGAATATCTCTTGCAGCTACAACAAAATCAATTGCATCATCTGTAGCTGCCCTGTGTAAATAACCTATTTATACGATTATAGTTATGGGTTGATATGAACTAAATGGCTTAAGGCAAACAGCAAAGCAAGTTGTTAGCATTGCACTGAAAGCAACAGGGGTCAGTTGTGACTAACTGGTGGATTATTTTTAACATATTGTGGAACATTTACATACATTTTCCTTCTGTTAAGCTCTTATGTTCTCTTCTAGCTATAATTGCATCAACTGAAACATTCTTTTCACACTCCTGGTTGGCTGCTATGATGTGTAACTGAGTACATGAAAGGCAGACTTTATTTTTGTTTACTTCAAAAACTCCCACTGCACTCATTATAACAATCAATTCGTACAGATTAACACAGCCAATGGTTTGATCCAGTAGAAGATCCCTACTAATGGAATGCCCTTCCACTACTAACCTCCAGCATCCCACAAGCAAGTCCTGTTTTGCTGACAAAAATCCTTTCTGTTGGTAGAAACTACAGCTGGATCTAACCATAGCATAGATTATTAACTGTATCAACAAGCAAGTACCTTGTTTGATCAGCAGCTTCTTGCATACCTGATGCCCAATTCAAAAGCCATCTGGACATTCCCTAATGAACCATAGCATTACCAACTCAGAAAATTCACTACACATTCAACCTCCATGACAGACAACAAATGTCAGAGCTGATTCAAGTATTTACCTCCCCGCGCCCCAATGCAGTGAAATATGCAACACAACTTCCTCAAGAATTTTTGAGACACAGGAAGCTATCCTCTCAAGGAGAATAGTATTAGCCTATAATTCCTCCTAGCATATTAGCTTTCCGAGTGTGCAGGAGTTTCTTTTGACATAAGGAATGTTCAAACATGAAAGGCCCCTCCTTCGGAAGCAGCACAGTCCCAGTACCACATGTTCTTTCTAAATGTTTGAAATGGTTCACTTTGGATTAAATTCATAGAGAAAAAGGTCAAGCCATCAAGTAATGGCAATGAGTGTGATGGTAACTGAAAAAGCAAAAAAGATCTTTCTTTTTTTAAAAACAACAACAACACCATAGTTCATGCTTTGATTTCCCCTTACACCAGATACGGGGAGGAAGATCTTGTTGCACTCATCAATAAAGCTCATTTGAACTTCTGGAAATGAACCTTTTGTATAGAAGAAGTGCTACAGGATACCAATGAACACAGCAGTGGACATGAATTAATCTGAGAGCACTTTTCATAGGAACATTGTCTGAAACAAAATAATGGGATTGACTGTTGAAAGCAGAAAGGACAAAACAACATCTCTTGTATCAAGGGAACAAAATCCCTCTGTTCTCTGACCTCAGACTTATGACATAAGTAAATAGGATTAAAAAAAATAAATCTGTAAAGTATCTGATTTGATGACTTAGGTTAAATAATTTGGATGTGCTGCTACATACAGAATAACCGGGCATTATAAATTATTTGTCATGTTTCAAGCTCTCTATGAAAGAAGGTCTAATAAACATGAACGTCAAGTACAATAGTATTGACTTGATTATGCTGGTTTTATTTACATGAAAGCACAATCTCACCTCTCCCTTACTGTTTTTAAAATTGAAGCCCTTGTTCATCTCATTAGCCTGTGGCCAGATGGTCAGTACTGGTGTTTCTTTGTAACCAGTGCAAACACAGAAAGAGGTCTATTCCAGAAACAAGAGAAAAATTGGGGAAATCTCATCGGTAGTTGCTTGGCAACCCCTCAGGTGCCTTTTTTTCTATAATACATAAGCAAGCTACATTTTAGATGCTTAATTCCAACAAACTCACCTTTCTTACCATATCTGCCAGCTAGTCACCCAATGAATCATGGGATAATTTCTTCTAACCTCTTTCTCTCCTACTTCCCAGTCCCCTATCTTTCTCCTTCTCTTAGTCTCCCTATCTCTCCAACCACCTCCTTCCTGACATGCATTTGTCTGTGGCAACATCACCTTGCTACAACCCTAATATGACACATTCATGTCACTGTTAGGTAGTCCCCCATATGTTTCTTATTTTGTGAAGCCACCAAGCAGCACCCAGAAGATCCAAAGAGAAAAGTTGGGAATCTGTGCAAAGGGGTTTTTTTTGGGGGGGGGGGGGGGGAACAGAAGTTGTAGGTGCTTCAGCGGCTGTCCAGACAGTTTAGCTACCAACAATTGATTGCAGGAGGCTTTTACAGCTTTTTCATGAACTACTATAGGGTAAAAACAAAAACACAACACATGATTAATTTATCTGAAGATGTTAAAGCATAGGCAGACTACTGCAATAAAATCCAATTTGCACAACAAGCCACTAATCATAAGACACCAATCATAAAAAATTGAAAAGACTGATACAAAGGCAACTTCCAGTGTACCTACCACCAAGAATTCCTTTTTATCCACCATCTCATTTCCATCTGTATCAAACATGTTGAAAGCTATCCTGAAACCAGCATGAGGCTCTGCCAAGGAATAAAGAAAAAGATATGATGAATTTTTTATGATGAGGGCCAAAGTAGACGTGAATTCTTATATCTGTAGACATGGAATTTGCCCGATCGCGATGAAAAAGGGTTGGATGTCTGATTTCTAATCATAAAAGAGCCATCTGCTACTTATCTTTCCACAGGTCCTCAAACGTTTTTCATGTAGCCAATGTTACTTCCAGATGCACTCAGCGGAGAAGAAAACTCTCAGGGAAAGAAACTGTCTATAGATGAGCTATGAATGGAGAAGTGATATGTGCACCTTATCCATGTGCCCCTTGTCCTGTTACAATAAAACCTTTGCCACCCATCTCCTATGTGACTGACACAGTTTACTGATACCCCACCTCTCCATACGAATACGTGCAAGGCAACTTAAACTCAAAAATAGTGGAACAAAAAAACCCATCAGCAGGAGAAACAGAAAAAAAAATCAGCATTTTTTTAAAAAAGAGCATCAGATAAAGATCAACGAGTGGTTAACTGAGCTATCACAACTGCGTCTAATTTGGACTGGGTTGGTATAATAAGACATATCAGTGAGCCAGAGCAAAGCAGTGGGGAAAGAGGACAGCCTAGACATACACCATGCTGGCTCAGTGGTTTCTCATCAGTTCTCATGACATTGCCCGACTATAGGTGGGTTCTGGTGGGTCCCTGGCTGGCATGCACTGGAGGCAGAATCTTAGCAGCAGAAATCTCAGGGATTTCCATCATCAGGCAGTTTTTATGAACAGCTCCACAAACCCTCTTTCTACGGACTACTGGTGGACTTTCCCCCTTTGAATCTTCATAGACCAATGGGTCAAATGGAATTGACTAACTGGGGCTAGAACTGTTCTGCCCTCCCTCTCCCCCAATTCTGACCTGGCATTCTAAGAGGGAGATCTTCTGAAAGAGGATTTCCTTAATCAGCAGTCTTTACTATGAGCTGCGTAGGTATAGTTGTCAATATTTCGGAAGATTCTAAATAGACGGAATGTTTTCTGCTCTGTGTTTTAAGTATTGTACCTGCATTTTTACACATGTATTTTAGTTTTGGTTTTATTTGGTTTTCTGAGCTGTTTTTATAACACTTTAACTGTTAGCTGTCATGCTGGCCCTAATAGGCCAGAAAGGTACAATATAAGCTTTATAAATAAACTATCAGAAATGGAATTTCCCAATCGCTTCGTGTAGTGGTTAGGATCATACGGATGACTGTACTAAATGTATATCTGAACCAGCTTGTAATGCAGGAGTGACAACGCCTGGAATCCATTTTGTTATGTCATCCTGCCACATAAAAAATGACAGGAGAGCTAGTTTCATTTTTATTTATGTAACACTGATGATGGCAGAAAACATGAGTTTTGAGGAAGGATCTGAAGGAAATCAGGGAGGTGGCATTATGCTGGTGCTGCCAGGCAAAATAGGCAGCAAGCGAGAAGCTGCATTTTCCTCAAGATAATAAACATGGAAATTAGATTACAAGTCAAGGACTTTCTAGTACTTTTAGGATATCCATCTAAGCGCACTTTCTCATTCAATTATTCCATTCAGATTTCACCAGGGGAAGATGAAAAACAAAATATGAACTATGAAATTTTCCTATTCCCCAGAATCTCGCCACAAGTTTTAATAAGTATACAATAGTTTGATATGTAGGAACATATACATCTTTTTTTTAAATTCTGAATACTTACTTGTTAAGATAGACAACAAGAACAAATATTCTGTATAAGAAATCACACCTGAAAAAAGCAAGTCAGCGAATTAATTGATTTCCCCCCTTCAGTAATCAAATAGTAATAATTAATAGCTGAAAATATATTAATGGTATAATTGATAGTTTGCTTAAAGGTAATAAAAAGGATTACAAAACAAGAGTCAGGCTGCAGGCAGAAAGATGTGCATAGAACTGTTTCCTCCCATTGGATTGGGTGCTCTGTGCACCAGAATGTATTCCCATATTTGCGAAAAAAATCTTCATCAAGGCCAGTGGGTTATAACCACTAAACCTGTAACACTATTAATATTATTGAAGAAATCTTACCCCTCCATTGGAAATTGTTCCAAATATTAGCATAGAAATCGTATGCTGAAGAAGAAGAAGAAGAGGAGGAGGAGGAGATTGGATTTATACCCCGCCCTTCACTTGGAGTCTCAGAGCAGGTGGGCGGGGCTGAGAGAACTCTTGAGGCAAACTGCTCTTTTTCAAGGACAGCTGGGCCAGAACTTGTGACTGACCCAAGGTCACATCAGCAGGTGCAAGTGGAGGAGTGGGGAATCAAACCCGGTTCTCCCAGATTAGAGTCCGCACACTTAACCACTACACCAAATGCCTACCAGTCTAGTTTTAAGACATGTTTCTCTGACAAATAAATAAAACAAATGCCTTTGGCCTGAGTTCAATATTTTATGATTAGTAATATTTGTAAATAAATGCCTTTAGCATATTTTTTTCATAAGGATGCTGTGTTACAAAGTAGTTCAGGGGTAGGTAAGAAACTTTAAATTTCATGCTATGGTCTTTAGAACTCAGTGCAGGTATAAGACTGAAAACTGAAGGCCTCTTGCAAACTTGTGGGCTCCTCTTTTCCTCACATTTCCCTCTCACTTAGCACAGCTATGGCGCAGCAGTACATTATGAACTGATGTTAATCATGGTATCTTAAACTAGAGTTTGCCCAACCATTTCTAATCATGGCTGTGAATTCTGATTTGAAAGTATCCATGGCTAGCATTAACATTAGGAAAGCTGTAATGATGCAACATGGTTGACTCCAGAAAGGGATTCATGTGTAAGACATCAGGGAGGAAGGTGCAAGCAGGCCATGGTTATGGTACATGGAATGTTGCTGCTGCACCACACCTATGATGATCAGAATGATGTTAAAGTTACCAGAAGAAAAAAGGATCCACCTAAAGTGGATAGTCCCATTTCCAGAGTCAAAAGGATTCATACCAAAGATACTACACAAAACAAATAGTACTCCATACCTTTCTCATGAAGATTCCGAAATAGCTTTGATGACCCTTTCCAAACAGGTGGGGTTTCTACAAGTATCTGATTCAATTCCTGAAAAACATTTATTTAAAAAAAGATAACACTAACTGTATAATAAAGACTCAGTCAGATTAAAGGTGGGGTGGAGATAAGGACGACTATGACAAAAATCAGATTAACCCCAGAAGTCAGATTAATCCTAATAGTACAAGACGGCTGAAATGTGCACTTCAAAAACCTGCAAACATTCTATCACTCCTGCTAATAGTAAATTTGACGATCGTATGTTTAGCAGTCGGGCACCATATCAGAAGTATCCACTGACAAAGTAGAGCAGGGGTTCCCAACCCATTTTGAGCCTGGGGATGCCTTTAGAACTCGGTCACAAGGTGGTGGGCACAACCACTAAATGGCTGCGATGGGCGGCAGAGCCAACCACTAAATGACAGGGAGTTATGTCACGAATAATGTAGACTTTGATAGGGTTCAATAACGACACAACACACAGAGCTCAGTACAAGCTCTCTGATCAAGCTCAGTTCATCTCTCTGTCCCAACTGTTCTGTTTGAACTGCCTGTCAGTAGCGTTTTATTCAGAGAGAAAAAACAAGCTCATCCATGGTACAGTGAAAGTGTTACATTTTGAAGCCTCTATGCTAGAAACACAGAATGTTCCTCTCACAGCTCAAATCATCCTTGAATGTTGCAAAGTCTGTGCTCTCAGTAATTCATTGTATTTAGCAGACTCATGCAGGCTCAAAAGACCTTTGTGCATTTTTGCCAAGCCAATCTCCCGGTGAGAACTTGAGAACTCGTCCTGGGTTTGCCTCATGGGATTTGTTCTTATATTCCCACAGAATAATTCTTCAACATTTCAGGCAGAGCTCTGTTTAACAGGATGCTCGTTTTAATGAACATATTGCTTAAAAATATGTTCTTTTATACAGTTTATCTCCAGTCACACAGTGCATATCCTTGTGCTCTGGTGCAGCTGCTGCCAAAGCAACATTTTAAAAAATCTGTATGGACGATCAGCTCTCCAATGGTTAATGAGAAACTCTGCTGGGTAAAAGCCCCATCCATTTCCTAAAAAAGCTTACTGGCATCAGGAAAGTTGTCAGTGGGCTGCACATTGGGGACAGCTGAGGCAGAGGTTGTTGCATACCTAATGCCCAACTGTACAACAGGGACCTGAAACTCACCTGTTTCGAAAGGTTCTGCAGTTGTTTTGTTCCTAAAATAAAGGCAAAACAACTAATTATTCAAAAATCTTCCAACAGTATGCTCTTATAGGCCAATTTCATGATCAACATCGCAATTTACCTTTTATCATCTCAATCCTCAAAATCAGCTAAAAACTTAGTTTTAAACAAATTTAACCTTCATTCATATGCACATGGTACTCAGTAGGACATACTTCCATGAATATTTAGTTCAGAATATTAGTCTGCTAGGTGTCATTTGAACTAACGATCCTATGGATGTCTATTTGAAATTAAGGCATAATTTAATTACAAACTACATGACAATATTCTCTTCACAGACAGGAACATGTCTATTTTTAGCTTCACTTCATATGACGGAAGCTAGAGAAAAGTCACTGCCAACTACTGTAGACTTTATTCATAGATTTCTAAGTTCAAAGTTTGTCCATGTGGATACATATCTGAGAACAATTTGGAATGCTCACAAAAATTCATGATGTGATTACAAAAAAAGCATCACTGATTATAACACAGCTCACTTAAAAGTACACTGTTGAAAAGTGAAGCTTTCAAATGTTAAAAGCTATGTTAAAATTCAGACAGTTGGACATAGACAGAAGAATGCAGAGTCTGGCATTACCCTATTGAAGGTAGGAAAACACACATTCCTATGCTATAGAAAAAGGGGCCGTTAACTGCCACAGTAAAGGAAATGACAAGCCTGCAATATGGCCTTGCAATCACCCAGCAATACAGTTATTACAGCTTGACGCTGTTACCAATATTTACATGGGTACTTCTACTTTTAGGGAATGTATTTCCCAAAAACCGAGGACCCTGATTCAGATCAGGACCTGGCACCGGGGGAGGGGCCTTAATCTTCCTTTTGGGGGGGGGGCTGCACATGCACTGATGGACATGTGTAGAGCCCCAGTGGGGCAAATAGCAGCCCCTGAATCCATTTTGGGTCCAGAAAATGGTGTGGGGAGGCCCTTCCACCTGAGCTGTGTCTCTGATCCCTCACATCTGATGTGCGACTCTCTGAGTCAAAGTCAGGTCAGGGGAACACAGACACTGCATGTTAAGGATTGTAATGTGTAGTTTGGACCCAAGAGGGAATGACATGATGGCAAACCAAAATCACTTGTGCCCTTATACTGTTGCACCCTTTTCTATTAATTTGACAATGATGTACAAGCATGACAAACTAATCCAATTCCCAATGTTATAGTTTGGTGCCATTATGAAATACATAGACCTTCACAATACCAAAACAATTATGCTAGTATAATAGATAAAGCGATGAAAACATATCTAAAACTGCAGCTATTGGAAATGGCAGCAGTTTTATGCACTAGAATAATAGTTTATTTAACACAAGATTCTGAAGGATTTTGCAGGGCTAATCTAAGTATGCCTCACAGGACCCATGAAACAAATATTATCTCTGTTTTACATAATCCTCCTGGATTAATCAGGGTTTACTAGCTTACACTTTAAGGACTCCTGTACTAATTGTAGAAATGTATGACAGCTTAACTGAGCCCATATAAAGAGGCAGGTTGTAAATTAAATAAAGTGAATGTGCGGCATTTAATGAACATACATAACAGCAGCCACATTGGTGTGCAAGGGGGTGGAGAACTAAACTTACGTCTGGGTTCCTCATTTGTTACAGCCTGAATGAAATCATATGGTGTCATGAACAGCTGCCCTTCAAATTCTAAGCTGGCAAACATACGAAATCTCTGTTCCCGGGATGTTGCATAAAGACCTAAATCTTCATAATCTGGTCTGGTTTCTGTGCCCTGTTAAAAGACAAAAAATAAAAATAATAGAAACTGTTGATTTATAATTATTGTTGTTCTTTTACCTCTTCCCCACAACCTTCTCCTATCTCATACTCAAAACTTGCTCACCTTCTCTTCACCTTCAGTGCCCCATCCTACTCCTCTAATCATAGAAATCATAGAACTCTAATCTTCTTCCTTCTCTCCCTCTCACATTATGTTTCGTCTACTTAGCATTAAGAAACACATGCCAGTTATCTATATGTATTGTTTTACAGTACACGCAGTCTTTGTGACAAAAGATATTAGATGTCACCTATCATTAAGGGTGTGTAGTGTAGCTACATTTTTAAAGACCAATCAGTATGTCCCTGTCTTGCTGGCCATAAAAGAACTAAAAAGGAAGTAGCCTCCTCTGACTATGGAGCAGCATATGAAATAGGAAAGAACTTGCTCCCACCAAGTATCAGAATTAGGGCTGCTATGAATGCATGCTGCCTGGGAACAAAAATGGCAAAAGTGTGCCCAAGTCATACACATTCAAACTTTTTTGTGTGTGAAACAGAATGGAAATCACACCCGACAGACCATGCAATGAGATCCAGGAAAGGACAAAGGCATTGGTGAGGTAATGGGTAAGAGTCAATAAGTGTTCAATTTCTATTCTTACTTTTGGAGATTATCTGATCCAAATCTCTTAGTAATTAGCGGCAAACCTCAAAAACTTTCATGAAAGCATATCCCTATCAAAAGATTTTAAGACTTTTGTTTCCTAATCTTCCTGGCAATCTTACAGTGATCTTGTATCATGCTATAGCTCAGCACCTTTACAAAGCTGGACATAGCCATTTCTCTCAAGCACACTGTCACGAATCTCCGATTAAAGCCATTATGTTGTTGTTATGAACAGCAGATCTTAGTTCACCTGTGTAAGTCTTTAGAGCTAGGTTGCTTAACAAGATTTTCTGAAAAGCAATGTAACATAGCTCAGCAACTACAGCAATTTCTTTCAGAATTAACCTGTCTTTAAAACAAGAAAGGCCAAAAATAAAAACGCTTTGAAACTAATGCATCCACATTAAAGAACTTTCCACCTATCTAATCATCATTATAAGGATAGGGTATTCAACCTAAATCAAGACACTTTTTACAGACCAGCCCCACTGAAATCAATGGGCGCTTCTTGAATAAATTGTTTCAAGACTGCACCGTTGAAAGCTCTTTGGTGTACACACACTAACATCAGCAACTGTATCTTCAGCTAATCTTCTCTCCCAGTGAAGCAGTAACTACTATTTAGATCTTTAGAAGTACAAAATTGTTAAAATACTAACACTATTGGTAATTATTTAACAGAACTTCACTGAAGCTGTTTTTCATATTTCGCCTTTTTTCAACAAAGAAAAACTTTTCAAATGCAATTAAATGTGGTCCAAGCTGCGGTGGCTCAAGATTCTGAACTGCAGGCTATGGAAGGTCGGTAGTTCAGCAGTTCGAGACCAGAGTGTGCCGCATGACGGAGTGAACTCCCATCTCTAGTTCCAGCTCCTGCCAACCTAGCCGTTCGAAAGCAAGAAACTGCAAATAGATAAATAGGTACCACTTCAGTGGGAAGGTAACAGCGTTCCGTGCGCCTTGGTGTTTAGTCATGCCGGCCACATGACCACGGAAATGTCTTCGGGCAGCGTTGGCTCTTCGGCTTTGAAACGGAGATGAGCACCGCAACCCTAGAGTCGGATTCGACTGGCTTTCGAGCAAGGGAACCTTTACCTTCAAGTGCTTCTAAGAAAAGGTTTGATGTAATAACATTGCTTTTCTATTATTTTTAAAGAAAAGAAACATCCTTCAACATTGTCTCTTAATTTCTTCTAGCTGGTGATCATCAAATCAATTCCCTAATAGTTCATTGCATGGAATCCATTCTACTAAATTACTTCAAATGAAATAAACGTTGTGGGAGGGTTGTTTTTTTTTTAAATAGAAATTGTCGTCTCTTAGGTACATGTTGATCATAGGTGATTAATACCTGCTGGAGGCACTACTAAGTGCAAGGAGAAATGTCTCAGGAAAAAGAATCCAAAGGCAGGGAATGGCTCCAGGGAACTCAGACTTAGTTTTCACATCTGTTGCTAACTCTTGTAGGATCTGTATGCTCATTTGCTGCTATCCACACATCTTCCCAACTGCATTAATCCAATCTTGGCTATACTTATTGCTCAGTTACTTATGCATCTTGATTCCAATTAGCCCTTCCTGGCAACTAAACCCCCCACCTATATGTAATGCTCGAGGAAGTCTTTTGAATGTATCTGAAGAAGTGTGCATACACACAAAAGCTTATACAAACTTTGTTCCCTTGCTTCAGACCAACACGGCTACCCACCTGAATCTGTCCAAATCAGCGGTACTCATTCTGTGGCTCAAGGAGAGCCACACTCGCGATTTTTGTTGTTGTTGTTCAGTCGCACAGTCAAGTCCGTCTCTTCGCGACCCCATCGCGACTCTTCGCAAAAGCCGAAAACCCATTCACGATTACCATCAGCCAAAAGAGCCACGTTTATTTCCATTCCTGATATGATGCCTGCATCTCAGGGAGGCTCACAGCTTATCCATTCCTCCAACAGCAGCTGTTTCAAGTTGGGAATCAAATCCCATTGGGAATGAGCTGTGCCCACTTTCCTGACAGATGTGGCAAGAACCACACTGGGGGATGGAGTTCAGAACAGCAACAGGTGGCATGTCAAAGAGCCACTGAGTGAGTATCACTGGTCCAAATAATACACTTTCTTTCGTTTACTATAGAATCGTTTTCTTCAATGTTTAGTTTTCCTTCCACTCAGGAGGCAAAAGTTAAAGATACATGTCCTGTGATAGCACAGTGTGTAGCAGTTTACAACAGGCTTCCCAAGTACTTACCGTGATTCGGCGGGGGACAGACATCTTCGCAGGATCATTCCCACGGGGACAATAGACGCGCCGCACCATGCCATCGCCAGGAAGTGACGCCGGGCAACGCTCTGGCAATGGGGCTGGAAACTCGATGGTACCATCGAGTTTTCAGCCCCATTGCCAGAGCGTCACTTGGCGTCACGTCCTGGCGACAGCATGGTGCGTTACAGGGAGGAATGTTCCAGATGGGGAGCATGTGTCCCCCGCCGGATCGCGGTAAGTACTTGGGAACCCTAGTTTGCAACTCCTTCTCAAGTAGGGGGGTATACCTGGCAATTTTTTTGATAGAAAATGAACACGATTGTGTGTTGCGTGTTAAGAGCCTTCAAGTCACTTCTGACTCATGGTAACCCTATAAGTTAATGACCTCCAAAACATCCTATCATGAACAGCCTTGCTCACATCAATCCATCTTATGCTGGGTTGTCTTCTTTTCCCGCTGCCTTCAACTTTTCCTAGCATTACTGTCTTTTCCAGTGACTCTTATCTTCTCATAATGTGACCAAAATACAATAGCCTCAATTTAGTCATTTTAGCTTCTAGGGAGAGTTCAGACTAGATTTGATCTAGAACCCACTTATTTGTGAAACTCTCCTCCAACACCATGTTTCAAAGTAATCAACTTTCTTGCTGTCAGATTTCTTCATTGTCCAACTTTCACACTCATAGTCTTACAATTTTGTATGCTGCCTAATTTATAAATGATGCATTTATGTTGTTTATTCTCTAAAGGAAGTTTAGGTATGACCGAAAAATAAGTATTGCATACACTTCATTCCCCCCCCTATTTTTTCAGAAAAAAGGGGGGTTCATGGGGCTTCAAAATTTCTGGAAATTTTTCAGTTTTTTGGTACTTCTAGAATACCTAAAGGCTGAGCTGACAGATTTAAAGGCAGATTTAATGCTTGTAAAATATATGCAATAGGGATTTCCTACTTAGATCTACTATATAGGTAGACTAAGTTGTTTCCTGATGCAGCAGACTTCGAATTCCCAAAGCTAAGAGGGTATGTTTCTAAGAACTGATATGGATAGTTCCTGGGGAAAGTGCATTAAAATAATTCACAAACATCTTTTGCAACAATGCAGAAGATTCTGGGATATACATTAAAGATTGCACAGAATTAGGTCTGCAATGGTTAATTAATTAGTCAATCAATAGATTAAAATCTTTTCACCAAAAAAAATGATACACACAAACAGGCAGCAGATTTTTTAAAAGGCTAATTATTTTATTTACTTACAAAAACTGTAAGTGGCAAGCAGCATTTTAGAAGATATACCATATACCATCTAAAAATGCTCTTCTGTATAACAACTTTTATTTTAGTGTATTTCTCACCAACCTTTCTCAAGGTGGATTACAGTAACCGTGTAAAACAATCAAATCACATTATAATCCTTCATCTGACATAACCAGAAACATCCCACATTTATAACCCCCCCCCCTAAATAATTTTCTTACACAAACATTGGAATAAAACAATGTGGGAGTCTTGTCAGCAACATCAAGTAAGCCATTTCACCAAGTAGGGGCTACTACAAAGAATGCTTGAGTATGGGCAGGTATCAATTTTTAATCTGCTTACACAATGGTTCCCTCAGAAAGTCTTGCTCAGAGGAATGAAGCAGGTACAAATGAAACATCAGGAGAGGTAGTACTGCAGACCTGTAAAGTCTCAGGCCATGAAGGGCTTTACAGGAAAAAATCTGCACCTTGAATTGAGCCCTGAAACTAATCAGCAATGAATGGAATGACTGTAAGATCAGTGGAGTGTGTTCATTTTGCCTCGCTCTCAACACGAAACATTACGCACCAATTGAGATTTCTGAGTTGTCTTCAAGGGCAGGCCCATATGACAACAGTCTATCCTCAAGGTGACTCTGGCATGATCCACATGGCCAGATCAGCTAGGTAGTGAGCCAAACTCCATGCTCAATGGAAAAAGCATTTCTCATAGCTGAATTCTTGTCTTGCAATAACGCTTAGTCAGCAGTTAGGAAGGACCTGCTCACCTTTAATCACGTGACCACAGCTGCCAGGCTATACATTCTGGCTTTGACTACGG